CTTTACTTATCTCACAGGTTTTGATATATAGCATTTTAATTTTTATTCTACTTAAATATTTTCTAATTTCCAATGTGAGTTCATTGGCTTATGGGCTTTTTAGAGATTTATTTTACAATTTTCCAATGCTTGATTTTTCGATGTATCTTTTTGTTATTCTACCTTGTTTGCACTGTGATTGCTGAACATTCTCTGCATTATTTCAGTCTTTTGAAATTTGTTGCCTTAATGTCAGTTTTTATAAATGTTTTTAGTTGCAGGTTTTTTTAGGTTTTTTGTTTTTGTTTGTTTGTTTGAGACAGGGTCTCACTCTGTTGTCCAGGCTGGAGTGCAGTGGCATCATCATAACTCGCTGCCACCTCCAGCTCCTGGGCTCAAGTGATCCTCCTGCCTCAGCCTCCCCTGGCTAATTTTTTTTATTTTTCTTAGGGACGTGGTCTTGCTATTGCCCAGGCCAGTTTCAAACTCCTGGCCTCAAGCAATCCTTGATTTGGGCCTCCCAAAGTGCTAGGATTACAGGCCTGACCCACCACACCTGGCCTATATTCTATATATATACATTTTAGGTCAGGTTTGTTAATTATTAATATGTTCACACCTTGTGTGTGTGTGTGTGTGTGTGTGTATACACATACACATATATGTGGGGTTTTCTGCTTGTTTAGTCTTATTGAGATCTGTATTAAAATTTCACAGCACAACTGTGGATTTGTCATTTTTACCTTATATTTCTTTTTAATTGACAAATAATAATTGGATATATTTATGGGGTACAGTGTGATGTTTTGATACACGTTTACATTGTGAGGTGATCAAATCAGGATGATTATCATATCCATCACCTCAAATACCTATCATTATGAAATGTCTCCTTTTTTCTCTACTAAAGCTTTTACGTCAAAGTCTACTTTATCTGACATTAATACAGCTACATTAGCTTTCTTTTGGTTTGTGTTTGCATGGTGTATATTTTTCCATCCTTTATTATTTAATGTTTTCCCCTCTGTTAGCTTCGCAGTTACATACTTTTTTACTCTGCCTCACCTGAGTCAGAAATGACAAGCTGCATTCCTTACCCATCCGGTCTGCTGCTGTGGTTTCGTGGGCAGTGCAAGGAACTTGGAGCACCTCACTAGCTTCCTTTAGCCTTCTCCAGCCTTATATTCTGTTGTTGTAATATATTTTAATTCTTTATATATTTTGAACTTCATGGAATATTAATGTTACTGTTCTGTATAGTCAGCATTTAGTTAGGTTTACCCACATATTTCCTGTTTTCACTGGTTTTCCTTCTTTCTTGCATCTGAAAGCTTCCACCTGGAATCATATTCCTTCCCTCGGTGGATTTCATTCATTGTAAATCTGCTGGAGAGTAATTTTCTTCAATTTTTATTTCTCTGAAAATGGCTTTATTTTTACCCCCTTTTAAGGACTATTTTTGCCGGATTTAGCTCTGGGGAACCTGCGGCCTCAAGGCCACATGTGGCCCTCCAGATCCCCGAGTGCGTTCCCTGGACTGAACCCAAACTTAACATTAAAAGGATTTGTTCTATAAAATTTGGATTCAATCAGAAGGTCTCACTCAAAGATCTAGAAGGCCACATATGGCCCCAAGGCGGCAAGTTCCCCACCCCTCTTTTTCCAGACTGCTTTAAGACTTTATCTTTGTCCCCCGCCCCGCCAGTTCTGCCCTGGTGTGTGCACAGGTGCATAGGTATGGTTTTGTTTTGTTTATCTTGCTGGTGGTTGTTAAGGGTCCTCGATCTGTGACTTCATATTTTTTGCTAGCTTGGGAAAATGCTCAGTTGTCCTCCTGCTGGTGTGTCTTAAATACTCTCCTCTCTTTCTATGACTGGTTATTCCCAAGTCATGTCACCGTGTCTTCTGTGGTACCTTCCCTCCTGGCTTCACCCTTTTACTCTTAATGCTTCATTATGGATATATTTTCAGGCCAGTCTTTACTTTTCTAATTCTTACTGCTGTCCGATCTGTTATTAAACCCATCTGTTGGCTTTTTAATTTCCATAATTGTATTTTTCAGTTCTATAATTTTTATTTCATTCTTCGTTAGTTTTTCTTTGCTGAAATTGTTAGTTTTGTCTTTTTCTCTATATAT